CGACTCTATCCACTCCCTCTATGTGTATCAATAGCAGTTTGGGTAAAATTGCCTCTCAGCTGCAGTTTGATATGAGAGAATAAATGAGGGGAGGCAATAAGATGAAGCTGGCAGTACCCAGTCCTGTGAATGTGTGTTCTGCCTGCATACTTGGCATCAGATCAAGGTGAATCTGGTATGAGCGGGGGAATGAGCTAAGGAAAGTGTGTGTGTGTGAGTGTGTGTGTGAGTGTGTGTGAGAGTGTGTGTGAGAGAGAGAGAGAGAGAGAGAGAGAGAGAGAGAGAGAGAGAGAGAGAGAGAGAGAGAGAGAGAGAGAGAGAGAGAGAGAGAGAGAGAGAGAGCAGTGTGTGTGCATTTTCAGCCCTCATTAGTAAACTCCAGCCCTGCGTTCACATTGAACACGCCACTCCTCCCCTTCCCCTCTCTCTCTGCCTCTCAACTAAATGAGGTTAATAAACTCAAGCGTTTACTACCATCACCAACACCATCCCTCCTCCCCTGCTTTCTCCTTCATCTCTCCCTCCCTACCTCCACCGCGCTTTGCACCCCTGAGCCAGCACTCCTCCACCTCTCTCCTCCTCTTTAAGCCTCCCTCCTTCTTTCATCTCAGCTGAAACGCTTTCTTCCTCTTTTCCTCACCTCATTTTTATTGTCATTGTTGCACGGCGAAAGCTCTGGGATTTCCTCCCTCTATTTCCCAGGACAGAGCTGCAATTACAGCTCAGGAGAGAAGAAGACCAGCTGTGCAAGGGTACTGGGAGCCCTACACCAGTAGTAGTAAGGAGACAAAGATGAGGGCGCCCCTCAGAGGCAAATAAATGAAACTGCTCATTTTTCTACCACAACATTTCTACCTCACATTAAAGCGGATACCTGCTTTCAGACCACATGGCTGTACCAGGCAGGGTCATCATGACCCGACATGAAAAGCAGCCCACCATAACGAATAACGTGCTGTGTTATGACCTGGCTTCCATGTCCTGAGCTTTAAAGCTAAAGCGCACTTCAAAACACACACTGGCGTTGGCAAGAACACGCAGTGATACCAAGGAAATGTGAAGAATGCATCAAACAGCCTTGGGTGCTCTTATCTTGTGGAGCACGTGGACAGGGACATCCTAAAAGAAGAAAATACACAAAATATGACTGAAGACAACACATAAATATAAAGGACAAATTCAAACAGCTGTGACCTAAATACGTGCAGGAATGCTGTTAAGGCTGGGCAGAAACATTATGTGACACCGTGTCAATGCATAATAAGTTTGTGAGTGAAAGTCTCGGAAACACAATTTGTTGCTGTTTGACTTGTTTTTCCTTTCATCTTAATGCTTATAGCCTCCAGGCATAGAATATATCAAGTACATTTTGTCAGGCAGTATTACATAGATTACTTATTACACTTCCTTAACATTTTAACTCGCCTGCTGTAAAGTATGGGACACACAGACGTGTGATCTAAAATTGAAACAGCCTCCGTGATTTTCTGACATCTGACTGGATTACCTTCAAACAAAAGGTTTAAGATTTATTTTCACCTCAGGTCTGGTCACAGTGTTCCTCTGATCATATGACCGTGGGCTGCTATTTATCACAGCCCAGGCTGTTAAAGCTTCTTCAGCTTTTTACTTCTCGGGAACACATTGGGTAATACACAGCAGTGATGGGGCAAGTAATCGCAACCTTAAACAGATTCCAAGCAATGCATCCCGTCACTCATCCAGCTGCCAATGTTAAAGGATAACAGTTAGATTCCATATTTTTGTTATCATCAACAAGAAATACCAAAATGGCTCATTGGTGGGTTTTTAATAGATTGTGGACACAGCTGAGCTATTCGGCAATAGGCTACATCGTACTTTGACTACACAAGCAACACTTATTAGTAGGATCAAATCATTGTTGGTTTTTGGTATTTTCTTGGTATTTATTGACAATAAGTAAAATATAGAATATCAGAAAGTGTATCTTGAATATAATGATATAGTTTTCTGCTTTAAAAGAAGCACTCCACCAATTTTACATGTCATGTCTATGTACTAATCACAGGGTGTACCTGTGAAAACACATGTATAACGTCGTCTGTGGAACTTTTTCAAGTCGGAGAAAATTCCTCAGGTGACATCACTCACATATCTCAACTTGGGTTTAAGACTACAAAACTTGACCTGAAAGCCTGCGTTACAAAGTGAGGTCATGGAGATTCATAGACATGGGCATTTCACAGGCAGGGAGGGTATAACAAATCTAAAATCTATTTAAGTGTAGGATCCAGTATTTTTGGAGCGTGACCCATTTTAGGTGCTAAAAGTCAGGATATCTAGGCCTCTGCTGCTTTGGTTATAATCTCTCATTTTCTGTCTCTCTCTTAAATGCTTCAACTTTGTGAAAGCCCCATACTAAATTGCTACTCTTTTAAGTGACTCCAGCCCTGTCTTGTGCAGTCACCCTTGCGCTATGGACATTGTTGGACACTTTTATCCATACATTTTTAGGATGCTTGGCCTCAACTGGAAATGAACCCTTGACCCTGGCAGCACTACCAGACCCACTTCACACAGGATCGCATTATTAAAATGACTGTGATGTGTGCCTGTTCAACTTCAGGCATCAGCTGCTTGCAATGTAATGTTTCCTAACAGCTGTCGCACTGTCAGGTTGTCCGTGTGAGTGTGTAACAAAGAGAGAGTGATGGCAGCAGGAGCCACCGACAGGCCCATGGGACAGTCGGAGAGGAGCAGACGGTCGTGTCGTTTCACTAGAAACATATGGTGAAACTCAAGTGTGTAATTTACCTAGGACTACGGGTGGCCTGGGTAGCACACACACACATGCACTCATGTACACACACACACACGCACATGCACTCATGTACACATACACACTCACACACACAGTGACAGGGTGTAATTTACCTGGGGCCTATGGGTGGCCGAGTATCCCGTTGCACTTGTCATACACAAAGACAGCTCAAACACAGTTCACAATCCCTGGCAGAGGCAGAGAGAGTGAAACTAATTTCCCCAGTCCTGCAGACAGGAGAGTAAGAAATCACACAGCGACAGAGATGTTAAGAGATCAACGCACTGAAAGATTGCGAGAGTGGATCAGCGTTTAGTGCGTTGGCCCAGTGGAAGACATTACCCCAAAATCTCAACCTGTGGGAGTTGCTGCACACCCTGTATCACATCCTCTCAAATTCATCAACCTGGCTCCTTTTCAAAGCCGGCACTATTCCTCCCTCAGAGAGAGAAAGAGATGAAGGTCATGGGAGCACCAGCGAAGGGGAGGAAGACAGATTAGAGGAGTGTGTCCCTCCCTACATTCCTGCACTGACCTTCATAGTGGTGTGGCACTGTAGCTATCATCAGCCCACCATGCTTTACAGTTGGTTGTTATTGAGGGGTGGGATTGTGGGCTCCTCAAACCTTCATGCCCCACCCCAATACCACGCCACTGTGAAAGGCGCATATATCTTGTTTCACATGAGGACTGACAGAAAGGCTGTCCCAGACATTTATAGTTGGCACTGTTTGAGGTGTCTGTCTTTGAAGGCTGATGTGATAGCCTGTCTGCAAGTCGCCGTGTGTGTGAACTGGTGTTTCATCTCCTTTCCCAGCCAAGGGGCTTTAACTTCACTCCAGGTGCACAGAAGTCAACCCGAGGGCATGGGAGGTACAGTTGAGATTACAATCCTGAAATACTTACAGACACACACACACACAGGCAGGAAGTTTCCTGCAGTAACTCAGACTGAGTAACTTTGTGGTTTAAACTGGTTTACCAGTCCAGTGGTGTCGCCGTGGAATGCTTCTAAAGACTCTGCAATGTGCTGTAGGATAAACATGTCTGTTACCGCCTCCACATGTGAACATCAATCAGTCCCAAACAGAAATACTGAGAGTGAAAAATGAAAAGGTGAAAGGGCCAGCTGGTTCAGTGGGTTGTATAATGACAATGTGCAGGACAGGCTCTCGATCTACTGTACACAGAAGCAGATGGAGTTGGTTTTCTTTGCTGCAGGTCAAGTCTGACTGGGCACAGAGTAAATTAGGTGCAGAGTCAATAATTGGACTAACACTGAAGTGAGACTCAAGACAAGACATTGTTCAACAGGTGCGGATTTGGCAATTTGGATAATATGATCCACTCTACCCAACAATTGCTGTATATTGACATTAAAAGCTCTTAACTGCATTTCTTACATTACCTTGAATGTAACAGGAATAATCACACTGTATTCCTCCGTATATCCACACAGGAAATCTGTGTGGTCCATAATGAGCTCAGTAAACATCTGCTACTCCTGTATTAGAGACCATTTTCTCTGCGTCTCATCCTGTAATATGGAGAAATTAGGGTGCAGGGATTCATTCAGCGTGTTTATACACACACACACACACACACACACACACACACACACAGCAGACATAACATGAGGAGTAGTGTGTTTTTATACTACCCAACTGACGCTCTAACATACCATCTCAACACCACAATTTTCCATCCACAACAGTAAAACACTACCGGGTGTCCTTGGTGTATGGTCCCTGAATCCCAGGGTTGTTTTTTTGCAAAGTGCAGGGTACTGGGGATTTACTGAGATTTACTGATTTATTTGGAAGTTAAAATCTAAACTCAAATCTGGAATATGTGCAATGTAAAAAGAATTTCTTCACGTTTTAAATAAGACAATTCAGGAAACCTGCGTTTTTGGAAACATGCCAGTCATTATCTGTTTAACTGAGATAATAAACTGTTAACAATATTTACACTGTTTCCCTCAAAACACTGTGGGACACAACAAAGGCTTGCTTGTGCAACTGCAAGCTTCATGTGACATATATAGAGGAATAGTACCACCTAGTGTCAAGACTTCATTACTCCATAGCAATTACAGGCACGCAAGTGGCCTAATAGCAAACCCAAAGACCTAGCAATAGTCAAAACACAAACAAACATATACATTTCTTGGGAGAACAAAATATAATTCAAAAGCTTGGGCGTTGAATAGCTTTTATTTTAGAAACCACTCAATGGATCTGCATACTGGTAAATGTCATAACTGAGGCCAGTGACATTGGAAACCCATTGTACAGTAGACTGACGAGACAAAAAGGCGGCAGCATGACTCCTCAGAATACAACACCAGTTTCCATATTGGCTCCTCATATACACTGGTGTGGCTGTGGTAAACCATCTGGATTAATTCAAAACTGATTACAATCCAGCAGCGTGGTCCACGTCCACGCGGACCTCATATTCCAGTCTTTTCCTGAAAAAGGTCTGTTGATGGTCAAACTGAAGAATGCTATAGGAGGATCTTCCTCACTTGCTCATCTCCTGCTGGACCTCACTGAGGAGCTGCTCCTCCAGTTTGGAGGTGTCGTACTCCTTCAGCATGTCGTACTCCTGCCAAGGCTGTGCCCACTTCTGGGCATGCTCCATCTGCTCTGGGGTCAGGGACAGGTCAAAGCGGATGCCCTGGATGTTGAACTTCGGTCGTTCCCAGCGTTTGGACCATGGCTTTGGGCGCATCTTTACCTTCATCTGTTGAATAGACAGAAATGCTAAATCATTTAAATGCTGTATTTTTACTACGTTCCTCTTTCTTTCTTGCTTTGTCTGCTTGCTTTGTCTACCAAAGGCACCTTTTCACATCGCTAGAAATAATATCTGTATTATTATGAACAATTGCACAAAAAGCTTTATAAAAATAGTTTTAACAATACAACAGATGAGTTTGGAGAAGCCCCATTTAATGCAGCTCTTTGTTATAAATTAGAAGCTCTCTCACCTTGTTGACAGGCACCTCTCCAGTAGGGGAGAAGGGCACAGGCTTCATGTCCGGGTCCACAGTGCTGTACTCGGGTAGAGCGTCTCTCAGATACATCAGGTTGTCATCTAGCCTCTTCTCCAGCTTCAGCACCTCAATCTTCTGGATGCGAGGGCTGTACAGCTCGTAGCAGATCTCCACACCTGAGACACACACACACACACACACCAAGAAGTACATCATTGATACAACATACTGTCTGACTACAGGAGAAACCCTAACAATCATAGGCAAATATGAACAGAAAGGGAGGGCAGATGTAACAGGGAAAAGCTATATAATTTAACATTTGCAATAACATTTAATATAGTCTTGCTTAAAATTCCATTAATGCCACAAGACTGGGATGCCACAGTCTATGTGACATTCAGTAAACCTTTGTTAGACCAGTACTTAAATAAAGCTCACCTTGGTTATCAATGATGTTCCTCAGGACGAATGTGGCTCCAAGCCCCTTCCCACCCCTCTGGATACAGATGCCAACAAAGCGGTTAGTTTTCCCATTGGCATTGGGATCGGCCATGGTCACTGCCAGGATACTTCCTGAAAACGGTCAAATTGACACAAATTAACTTATAATGCAAACAATAGACTTTATGTGCACACATATATAGGAGAATGCCTTGAGATTAAAAAGGGTTTTTAAGGACACTGCTGCTGTGCATGCCTGACACCCCGAGGCATTCATTTCCACAAGTGAGGGACCCAGACAGCAAAAGTCTAGTCACCCTTTATGCCAAGTTGAGATGCAGGAATTGCCAGAGGATCTCAGGCCAAAGCAGGCTGGATCATGGGGGGGTTAACAAATCACAGATGAGATAAACGTATTCTAAAATTGAAAGGAAACCAGTGAATAGTGTCAAAGATTGGGGTAAATCTGTCTTCGTCTCTTGAAGCACGATAGTAGCATGACAGTTGGAATGACTAGTTATAGTACAACTATTTTTGTCCAGAATGTGGCTGCTTTAACTTTGATGAAATGAAAAGTGTCACTGACCTTCTCCAGGTTTTGGTAAACTTAACCCTCTCACCTCACCAGTGGGAATGTACCCCTGGATAATTTTCTTACCTACGTAAAATTCAGGTATGTTGAGAACTTTCCTCCTGCGAATCATGTCTTTCCTCTCAATGGAAAATTTAAAAGGGTCTGTTCTCTGTCTGGGAGGGATGAACTCTGGGCTCAGAAACCTGAGAGAGACAGACAACACTTTAAAAAAAAAAAAAATACACACAATTTACAAAGTATGCAGCGTTAGTATGCGTGTCTGTGAGTGTCAGACTTAGGACTCTGGTGTCGTTTCTGCTTTACAAAAGAAACATACTGTCGCAGAGATGCCGCAGTCTGTGTTTTATCTATGATGACAGGTTTAGATGGAGGGGTGAATTTCGGTGGCTGCTCGCTATTGTTTCCCGGCGCAGGGCGACACACAGACGTGGAGAGCAACCCTGGAAATAACAAGAAAGTAAGACATTCATCAAGTAAGTTATTTCTAGATGTTAGATTGTTAAATCTTGCTAGCTCGGTCTAACATTAGCTACGTTAGCTCAGAGTCTGTGGATACGTTAACGTTACAAGCGCTACACATCTTCGAAGCCTGACATCAAATTATAAAGTATAACAGAGAAAAGTATAAAGAGAGACGGTTCTGTTAACTTACGTTCATTTTGGAGCTGGAGGTTTCGTAACAACCTCAGTGAAAACATGCATTTATCGAGCACTCTTACGCAGGCAGCCATGACTGACCTTCTGTGGTCACATGCGAACTTTTACGGAAACCGTGTAGGACAAATAGTATTGAAACGCCATTCTTTACGAATATGCAATGTTGTCCATTGTCCACAAGATGGCGCAACTGTTTCGTCGGTTAGACCGTAGGGTCATACACTTTTTATACAGTCAATGGTTATACATAATCTCATTTTGTCCTAGCCTATTTCTAGGGTAAACGTAGGAACAATAAAAAAAAGAAGTGGCACCTAAATACTAAAATAAAAGTTCAATTAAATTAAAAGACTACTTATTGAGATGAGAGTGATAGCCAACCTGTCAACCAAGTCCAGTTGCCCTTGACTTTAACCTTCTAACTATGACCTGGATGACTGAGAATCTTCACAGACAACCTGTTTTGTATGATTTACACTCCATTATACCAGAGCGATTAATGAGCAAATGGAAAATGTTGCGTTTAATAACCCCTACAGTTTATGTCAGTGTTGATGGTATTTTGTCTAATGATGATGATTATTTAAGCGTAATTTCTGCATTTATGGATGATCCCAGACAGCTTTTTTAAACGCATTTACCTTTAATCCACTAAGAATTCAATAGTGGTGGATGAACAATTTAGATTATCAGCAAAATTAGTAATATCACACTATATGTACTGTATTCCTCATTACAAGGAAAAGCCCTGCATCCGTATTTTACTTAGAAGCACAAATGCAGGCTATTAACACATATGACATACATTATCAAAAGTAAGTATTAGGGGACAGAATGGGCCCTTTCAGAGTGCTATATAATTGGTTTATCATTACTGATTTTTTACAATCTTGTGTTTTGCATGCAAAATCTTTAATCAGTGATCTGTCAGTGAATTAAATGTAGTGGAGAGTAGCTACAATATTTGAAACTGAAATGCAGAGGTGTAAAGTAGAATTAAATGGAATGAGGGGGCTACCTCAAAATTGGTAAGTAACCTACATTAGCCTGCTTCAGCAGAGTAGACTAAATGTAGGCCTACTTAAATTATTTCTTAGAGATTACAGACTGCACAGAAAACCAATAGCAGCCTGCATGTGTCTGGTAGGGAACTCTGGGTCTTTGAGACCATGCAGGGGCGCGGCGGTCCTCCAGGTGGGCTGCCTCCACAACACAACACGCAGTTAGAAATGCACTCAGAGGGCAGTCAACTGCTCCAGCCCAGAGGAACCTCGATCCCGGTCTCACAGCGGTGGGAGGATGAGGGAAGACTAAAGACATGGGACCGCACATCTTCTGCATGCGACACAGAACCTGAAACCCAAATGCTACTGCTGGACTTTCTAATGCTACGGAGAAACTCAAAAACTTTGAGGCGTCAAGGATGTTCTTCTCAGATGGGACTCTCTCAGCCGTCACTTGTGCGCTCCTGTTGGGAATAACGTGTATGACCGGACTCTGCGACCTCACGAAAGGCTCTTCAGACTTCACAGGTTGGGAATTAATATGGTGTGCTCGTGCTTTGTATACTACAGTCCTGTTTTCCAAACAATGACACAGCAGCATGTTCAGATGACCAGCACTTGTTTTTATCCCGCATGTGCCATTTTACGCCTGAGAGTTATAGCCTACTATTTGCACCCTTGAAGAGGAAAAAATATGATAAGTCATTACGCGTGCTTTAAACTGTTGCGCACGACTCCCAAAAATGATTATGAGAAGTGATTTCAGTGTCGCATCAACTACTCCTCTCAGGACGACCCGTGCGTCTGGCGTGCTGCGGTATGCAGACTCAGATGTTTGCTTTATAAACCGAGTAGAACACAACTTAAACATGCGGAAAATACCCGTATTGTGCTTATCTTTTGCCCATGCCTGACACTGTTTGTGAAGAATGACCCACAAAGGGCATTTCAAACAACAGGTTCTCCTTTACTAAAGCCATCTGGCTGTAGGGATTGAGGATTTGTTTATCAGTAGGCTACAGCATAGATCTGCAACACATATCCCATTGATGCAATTGAGATAAATGAGATAATATGGTTAATGTGTTACTAGATGGCACCTATTGTCTAGACTAGGACAAGTTCTTTGCTACAGATTTACAGCTCAGAGAAGAAAGCAAATGCCGACTATAGGGCCGTTTTTTTTTTTTTATGATTTTCGGTGCTTCATATAGGCCTACAATCAGTTGAAAGGTAAAGTCAATGCAATTGCTCAATATCGGTGCCTCGGAAATGCAAAGTAGCCTACCTCAGGTTTATGTGTAGTCCGGTGTGATATAATCTATCTTTCATATCTACTAAGAAACAGGCAGCATATTACTAAACTAATGAGTTATTCTGCCTTGCATTCAAGCTATTGAGCTTTGCTGAGCCCAGGGCAAGCCTGCAAGTTTTGTTTATAGTGCCATAAAACAGGAAGGGAGCTTTGTGGCGGTGTTAATTGGGCTCTAATGGGTCTAATGGTTCGAATTGAGCAGGCTAACACTATGGGGAAAGGTGCTAAAGAGCAGATGTATGTGACAGGCCCTCTGTGTATGATTGCTGTTTGCATGTGTCCATATTGCTGCCTAATGAGCTGCTAAAGATCATGATGTAGTGAGGGCTGTTAACAGGGTTACATTTCTGTAATTGCCATGTATGTGTGTCCTTGTAGATCAAATGGCGGATAATTAAGCAAGAAGGGAAAACTAAAAGACCAGCTGATACCAGATTTCCGCTGCTCCGGGGAGGTTTACCAATACCCCGGCTTAGACATGATTATGCAAATACTGTGTAACAGGCAAGAGTTAATTTGTTGAAATCTCAGCTTTGGTGCAACATTTCCAGTTTTCCTCTGGACCTTCTTGGTAACTTTGCTCCTTAGGGGGGTGGGAAGGAAACACTGCTGTCATGTTGGGATCTCCCTTTGCTTTACATGTACCTGAGATCAGTTTTTCTTTTCTATATGCCCCAAAGGGATGCCGGTGTTGTGTCCCCAGATGCATAATTGTGTGCCCATCAGGGACTCTGTGCAACATGCTTTTACAAAAATGCTGACCAAGCATGGTGAAACAAAATAAGAAATCATAATACCTCAGGGACAAACACATCCTTCAGTCCTCACATTCTCGAGCTGGAGTCTCCCTGGAGACAGAGAGGAGCACTTTGATTGACAGGTGCTGGCAGGGTGCAGGGTGACAAAAGCAGTAGGTTTAGATCTTACATCTGTCAGTCAGACCTCTTGTCAGTCATGTGGCTGGAGCAGTGATGGTCAGCCCAATGGAGCCAACTGTTGATTTCCAAAGGAATGTTTACAGTAGTAAAAGATAATTCAGTGTTTTCACGTGCTAGTTTTACTTCATGCTTCTCTGTGACTTGCATTAGCATTGTTTGCCGACAACTGGTGAAATGGAAGATTTATATTTCATCAGCGGCTTTGAGCCTACTAGAGAAATGGAAACAAACTATGTTGGTGGGTAATTTAATTCCGTCTCCCCCTGTTATCATCTTCTATTATACAGGCGTCTGAAAAGCTAATTAGAGGTATGGAATGAGCTGTGCAACACTTAAGGGCCCCTAGGCTAACAGAGGTAAAGTTAGCAAGCTGGCTAATTAATGCTCTTTGTTTTGTCTAAGTTATCAATACTCCTTTGTTGATCTTTGTGTTGAATTCATAGAACCTAATACGCAACTTTATTGTCCCCTCTCCTGTATGTATTTGCTTAGGTTTAGTTATGTGATGAGCGTTCAGCTTGTTATGTAACTGTTCTTTTATCAGACGGGTAGCAGCAAACCATCCATTACCAGATATGGATGTCATGCTTCTTTGCTTTTTTTATGCATATACAGACCCCACTTCTCAACAAACACTAGACGATGTCTTCCTTGTTTTAACACTAAAACAGAGCTGAAACAATTTGTTTATTCATTTATCAGTGGATCAGCAGAAAATAAATCTGCAACTAGTTTGATCATCGTTAATTTGTTAACATCATTTAGAGAGCAAAAGTGCCTGCCTGTCGGTTGTCAGTATATGTTGCTTGTATATGTTTTAGTAAACAATTTGGGAGTTGAGTGTTGGTTAAACAGTTAAAGCAAACTGAAGACTTTGCCTTGGTCTTCAAGAAATTGTGTATTTTCACTTTTTTCTGATGTTTTCCACACCATATGAAAGTCAATCATGAAAATAATTTGCTGATCGATCGATAATGACAATAATTGGTAGTTGCAGCCCTACACTCATATCTATGACTACAGGTTACATTTGTTCTTAGTGCCTTTAGGCAGATGTGTCTAGTTATGTGAGCATAAGTACTAGCTGTCATGTCTGCTTTCCTGTCTCCTGCTGGATGCCGCTATCAGCTGACATTGACAGTAAACAGTTTATTATTTTTGTCAACACATAGCAGTGCCGGTGAAAAAGTGAAGCGATGAATGCCGGACTGTTTTTGGAAAGAAGCCGGGACAATGACATGAGTCAAGCTTTTGCTCCATCAGGCCTTTTAAATGAGAGCATCTCAAACAAAACACAGACTGTATGATTTATTCAACTGCAGAATAAAGCCAATATAGTCATGAGAGACTTGACTGAGTGATCAAGAACAATTTATTGACATATGATCCAGTGAATATTAGAATGTGAAAAGTCATAGGTGATTAGACCCCATTGAAATGACGTGGTATTTAATGGGAGTGGTGAAGCCGTAGAGTATAGAAATCCCCACGGTGAAGTCTTGACACTGGTGGTATTGATGAAGGGATGAAGGAAATGCTGAGGTTCTGGATGTGATGAGGAGGACTTCTGCTGAGCTTCAACTGAGCCTGGATCTTAGGAGCAGAGGGGAAGGGGGTGGAGGAGGGCTGCAGCAATTCGTACTGAAATGACAGCCGGCAGCAGTGGAGAGAACAGATTTTAAGTTTCACGGTGACTACATTTTTCGCTAATCGTGGTAATATCTGATTGGAAAATTAAGTGAGAATGCCCATAGTCAACTGTTGGAGGCAGGAAGAGAAGTGAGAGAGTGTATGAGAGAGAGAGAGTTGTGGTTGAACTGACCTTCATTAGACCAAGCCGGTCTAATTGTAGGCCGAGGCA